AATACAGGTATTTTAAAGAGCTGCAAACAGATGCGTTCCTGTGTGCTCTGAAGTACTTTTTAAAAATTGAATCTGAAGCATTTAAACAGTACCATCCCTTATGGGATTTTTTCCCCCTTACCTGGACTAAATTTAGTTCTTAGAAATAGATTTAACGTGTGTGTGGGGAAAACATTTAAATCAATACCTTTTCAAGACTGTTCAGCTTAAGATGAGCTTCAGCTTCATCCTTTGTGAGGAGAATAGTGTTCCAGGGAGACCATTCTTGCCACTTATTCCACCTAACCATGACCAAATCATAGAGATCATCCCAAGCACTAAGAACTGACTGACCACCCCAGAAATGTTCAACCATGTAGTGTAAGTCTTGCTGCTGTAATATAAAAGCAAGAGGACAAAAAAAAAAGAATAATAAAAGTTAATTTAAAAAACTTACAACATTTATAAAACATATAGTTGTTGCTTTGAATGACTATTATATGTCATACATAGTCACTACATTTTTAATTAGAGGTTGAAATGCTATCAAGGAAACTATTTCTCCCCTCTTTCTTTCTGCAGTAACTGTGATAACACACAATCAGTTTATTTATTCCAAAAGACACATGCCTCGAACACAGGTTTTTAGAAGTTTATTGTAAGATTTTTATGCAGATGGCTATTTCTGCTTCCTCTCTTGGCAGCCTGCTTGAGTATCAACTTGCTGTTAGAACATTTTCTTGCTGCTAGCCACTTCCCAAATCCATGCTGTTTAGAAAGAATTAATGATCTATGCACCGGAACCCACAAATAGAGATTGTACATAATTAAATTCAAAGTTATAAAATTCCACTATTGGTGAATTACTCTCTTTTTTGCAAACATGTTGAAAAGCAGTTAAAAGCCAAATTTCCAGGTTGGAATTCATCAGTTTTATAACTAAAATTACATAATCTTGTATAAGCAACATCAGTATAGCTTAAATAGTGCAGGATCATAATATAGTGGATATTCTGCTATAAATAGCTGGCAAGTCATATTAGCTTTAATATTATAAATAAATAAATGATGATGATTTATGATGTATATTTTAATTATAGGCCTGGTTTTATTAATCTTCATCATCATCATCATCATGAGAAAATGTTTCACAAATAAAATAATGATATCACAGTTACTTAGTCTGGCAACTATGAAATATCATAACATATAAGGTTGCCTTGATCTTCAATCACATTGATAAACGTTACAATAAGTTACCTGGAGAACAAATATAGCCACATGATTTGAACAAATGCCTCCAGCATTTGTTGATAAACTGATCTGGATGAAACAAGTTCAGTCCAGGGACATTGATCAGAAACTAAACATGATCATGATCCAACAATGTACTTATAATGAGAAGTATCATTACTAGCAGTTTTTATAAGTATGTAGACACTGGGAATACATTTCCATTAACATATAAATTATTAAGGATGTGGATTAGATTCAGATATATTCTGTACTGAATTTGACTGATATAGACAGATTTTAGAGACATCTCAATAAATTGAAACAAGGCTCATGTCAATGCAAATCCGAATCTGAACTTTCCTGAAGCTTTCATAATGATTCAGTTTTCAAATGAAAACACACAAAAACAGATCAACTTTCTCTCCAGGTGTGAAGAAAAGAGGAAAGACAGAAAAGGTGTGATTTATATCAAGGCTCTCCAATCATAATGCTTTGATGGAAGGGCATTGAATAATATATTATAAGACTGTGCAAATATGCAATGCTTTTTACTAGTTGAGTTTTAAATGGAAGATTCACTTGGGAACAATTATTTCTGTTTTTAAAGTAAAATAAATGGGGCTCATTCACATATAATGCTTTCTAAAACACTGCACAATTCAGTAAGTAAACATGTAAACATATTGTTATTTCTTAATAATATTTATACTCATTTTATATTTTTGCACTCATAGATCTCTTTTCTACGAAAATGAGATTCCCATATAATCCAATCTTCTTTTTGTATTCTACATAATTATTACTGTGCATTTTCAGTACAGGGTGAATTTCACTAACCAAGATGCAGCAACTTGCAATTCTATTTATAATGCTGGCTAAATGTGTAATTACTGTTTAGTAATATAATTTAATTCTGGAACTTCATCATCTAAACCAATTTGATGTGATATATGTTTTAAATTCTTAAAACTGTATAGCTACTTTAAATTTGGTGAGCATAGCTTATTACAGTATTGACTTTTCACCCTAGAAATAAACAAAACCAAATATGCTTCAAATTCACTATGACTCCAAATGTTCACAAATATTTACTTACTATAAAGCTCAGATTGCTTTGAGGTTAAATTAGGTAAAAAGCCCTTTATGAGGAAGTTAAGGTGAATCTATGTCTGTAGTGACAACAGTTCTGATGCAAACGGTGTACAAGAGATTCTGGAATTACAAGTGCTCCATTACCTTGAATTTCTTTATGTCAAGTAAAAATATAATAGGTAAGAGATGAATTACTGTATTTTAAAAAAAACTATTTCTTTTGTACTGACATGATAAAAATCCTACCAGTTTTATATCTTCTACATTTTTTTCTTTCATATTATCTTCTATACTGTGCATACCTGAAATATAAAGGCAATCTTAGCACCATCGTTATATTTCATTTCAGAATCTCTGAGATTTCGAAGCATCCGTTTGTACTTCAAAAAGGCTTCCCTCTTGCGAGCCTCATTATCCAGCTTGCAGCACAGATGACACCGGCCAATGGTGGAAGAACTAGCAGATAGGGCAAAACTGGTAGAAGGTAGATATTTTTTGCAGCCAAGGCAAAAGTAGATGTTGTGATAAAGCTTCATTGGATCAGCTGGTACCTGCAAGAATGGAGATGTGCTATTGTAAGATTTTTTTTCATAATGAATCATGAGCTTGGTCCAGAGCTTTCCATCATCATTGCTTTCAGTGGATGAAACTGAACTAAACAGAAGATCAGTTGAGAAAGTTGAGAAACTGATCTGGATTCATCTGTACAGGTGAAATCCTGTGAAGATAACATGATCTGCACTGGTAAAATCTGTGAAAACTACACATACAAGAGATCTGTGGTTGCATTTGAGCACACAACAGGTTTCTGGACTGCAATAAATGAGACAAACATGTGATTATCAGTTAGACAGTTAAACCTTAGTATGTAATACTTCACGTTTTCAAAATTCACTTCTATTAACCATAATTGCAATTTGAATTAGAAATAACAAAACTAAATTGTATATGTATTAAACGGTAACTTACCAACCAAGTTGTAATGGTCTACATTAACTGCTATCTCACTATCACACCTTATACATTAGTTGCTGTATGCATTCATTTACCCATTTTTCATAAATATATCTATCTAAACAATTACTGTGATATAGCACAATATAGTAAACCTAGTGAATGAGAACATATTTTTAAACTTTGGTATATGTAGCTAAGTTTAAAAGGGATAAATATTCCATTAAATTATATAAAATACTTTGAGAGGAATGTAATTATCAATATAGGCCACAATAGTTTTATTATACAGGTATTGCAACTATTTAAATATTCCATCTCTTTTGCATATTAAATAGTCTGGTTTGTCTGGTTGCCATACTGATGCTCTATCAACTTGCTACTTTCAGGCTTTACTTCTGTGATAGCATCCATGCCAGTTCATGAATAAAATCAAAATGGAGCTATTCTTCCATCCTTGCCCTTCATGTGATTTGGAAACTGCCTAGAGATATGTATCTGTGCTAGTATAGAATACTGAGGGGAAAAAATCAATAATTAAGCAACTATCCTGAAAACCATTAAGGAGGGAGTTACCTGTGTTGTTAAAATGTCCTATTCAATTTTTCTCAGATGCACTTTCCCATGGCACTATTTCCACTACCCAGCCCTCCAAGGCATTTTGAAGATACAATCAATTTGATGAAGTGTTACGCATGTTTTATAACTATGTTTGTGGTGAATCTTTAACTTTCCTTAGCCTTCTTATAAAGTACTGCAATATTATCATCCCAACTTCACATCAGGGAGAGAATCTAAGGAAATAGTGTTTGGACTAACACAAAGAATGATTAAATCTGACCTTGATTTCTCAGTTCACAATCCTACATGTCGAGACGGGAAAGTTGTGGCTCAGCAGATGTTACTGATTCAGATTGTTATTGTCTGGGCTGGTTGGGAACTCTGGAAGCTGTAGTTCAGCAAAGGTTGGAGCACCACAATTCCTTAACTTTGCTATTCATATCTATTGGCAAGTCCATTTTCTTCAATCACACTTATATGAGACAAATGCCATGTCATCTTAGCAATTCATTTTACTGCATTCAAGTATTCTTCTTTCCTATCTACTAGACGGCAGACAGCATCCTCCATCTGGCTGTCACAAATGATATCTGGCTTTCATATCATTATTTGTACAGAATAGCCTCATCTATTCCCTTGTTTTGTACATGTATTTCTTAGATAATCAAGTATACTCTACAACATTAATAATGTAACATTTCAGTTACTTATTTAATTATCATCAGATTCTAGGCAATTTATAATATATAATAACATACAATAATATCACAATATATATTAGAAAATCTACAACAATACAACGATGCAATAAAATTGTATCTGGCATCAATGGCTCCACAATAACTTCCCAAAGGACTTTAGAAATGCTAGCTCTTTGTAACTTTCTGGAAGACCATAAGAGTGGGGCCATCTTTGCCTTGGGGAGGTAAGCTGTTTCATAAGAGAGGAGCCCCTACAGAGAACCCTCATGAGATCCCTTCCCATAACACCTCCTAGTAGGAGGGGGACCATGAATATATGTTTTCTGGCTATCCAGGTCAGGTGGGCATAATGTATCTGGGAAAGGTGATGTCTTAGATACCTGTCAGGCCCAGCCCAAGAACAATGATGAAACAGTCCAGTCCAGTTCCTTTATTTGCTTACACCTTATAGACAGAAACTTGCCAGACTAAATCTATACCACAGCAACTAGTGGATATACCCTGTGAGAGTCTAGGGAGTGGCTATCCTGAATTTCTTTCTCTTCTCACTCTCCCCCTGTGGACTATGCTGTCTCTTGCCTCCTCCCCCCTCCTGGAATGCACCCCCTCCTCCCTGATAGCTTTGATCTCCCACATCACTCTCCTCCGTGTAGATACATTCCATCACAATACCCAAGCCCCAAGCCATATAGATAGCGACCAGCACCTTGAATTGCACTCAGAAACACACTGGTAACCAATGCAGTTCCTGCAGCAGCCATGTAATATGGAAGTATCAAGATTGGTCAGGAACCCTGTGGGCCACTACATTGTGGACCAGCTGAAGTTTTAGTGTGGTCTTCAAGGGTGGCTTTATATAGAGCAAATTAAAGGAATCTAAGTGAGAGTTATCCATCAACTGGACAGCCACTGGACTTTTTAAACAGAAACAATTTCATTTAGCTCCCTATTGCATTATGAAAATCATGTAAATGTAACAGAGGAGGAAAATACCTTGAGAAGTCTTGCAATCTCTGGATTAAAAAGTGGTGTTTTAATATACTGAAGAAATAATGTACAGATTCTTTGTCGAAGTCCTTGTAAATTACATTCCTTCACTGCCCTCATCATGAGGTCTGCTTCTCTATCAATTAATTCCACTATTTCATGTGTGAGTTTACATTCATGTTCCTGCAAAAGTAAGCAAAATGTTTAGCAAATCACGGGCATGCAAGTTCCTTATACTGACTGGTTCTGTAACTTTTAATACACGTTGCCAGTTATAATAGTTTACAGGCTGCAGGGCATCTAAAATATTTGGAGAAGGGCTTTGAAATCATCTTCTGAGAAAGGATTGACAAACAGTCAAAATGTCAGTTGGATACTGCCTAACATTTCAGAAATCCTTTGCTTTTGGAAATATGAATACGTCCCCCAACCATTAGTTGTGATCTTTAAGCACTTGATTGTCCAAAAAGATAAATTTTATAGTAAGTTACGTGTCAAAAATCTTTTTTCAAATGAATAAAGAATTTTGGTGAGGAGCTTTTTTCTTCAGTGCAAATAGCAGTGGAGGGAGCCTAATTCAGATTAGAGACACACTGAGGGGCCCCTTCCTCTATCAGGACTGCTTATCTGCAAAAACAACCCACTCCCACAGTTCTTCACAGAAGGAAAGGCACATCTTGCAGTCTGGCTTTAAGACAGACTTGAAATCAGACACTTGCTTCTCTGCTGTTTAAACTTATTGTTATATAGCATATATCTTATGCAAATAAATTCTATATATTTAAAGACCTCCTAATAGGTCAGTATGCTTAGGATCACAGAGCTAACTTTTTCATCAGTGTTGAGAATCATTGAATAATGCACACTGTTGATGGTACAGGACACATGTATCCCCTTGGGGCCTTTCAGTTTTTCAATATTGGCTAATTGAGTTATTTAGTTAGATTTTGATCTGGCCTCATTTGTGCATTCATTCATTCATTCATTCATTCATTCATTCATTCATTCATTCATTCATTCATTCATTCATTCCCAGAGACACTGGAAGGCTACCAACTAAAAAAAACAACATTTATTTTGTTTGAAGATTAATATGGCTGCCCAAATTGCAACAATGTGACTCCTGGTGGCATATAGCCATAAAACAAATCAGAGTATTTCAATGACAACAAAAAAATCCCAATATGGAAAAAAAAATCACACAATCGGGGCATAACCACAATATATTCAACCTCCCAGGTTGAGTCCACTAATATCCTGGCCCCAGTGCCTGAGGGAACATGCATGTCTTCAAAGCCTTCCTGAAGGCCAACAGGATTGGAGCCTGGTGAATCTCAAGGGAGAGATCATTCCAGAGGGCAGGAACCACAACTGAAAAGCATGCTTTCTAGTTCCTGTCAGATGGCATTGTTTGAGGGAAGATACCAGGAACGTGCCCACTCTATTGCAGTGTGTGGGATGGACAGAAACAACCAGAGACAGTCAATCCTGCAAATATCGTAGTCCTGGGCCATGAAGGTGATAACCAGCACCTTGAATTGCATCTGGAAGTCTACTGGGAGCCAGGGCAGCTTGCAAAGTAGAGATGCTACCTCCACAAATATAAAAAATAAAGCCCTCAGATATAAATATAAAACATTTACTTCTATGGGCTCTAAACGGCATTACACAATAGCCCTTTTCCAATTTGCTCCACAACAACAGCCCAATGAAGTAGGTCCAACTAAGGGAGAATGACTAGCTCAAAGTACATGAGCTTCCACAGCTGATGAGAGGGTTGAACCTGGATCTCCCTGGTCCTAGTCTGATACCTGAACCACTACACACTGTTGATGTGCGAAACCAGTGGGTATTTTTTTTAAAGCCTTGGAGAAACCTACCTTCACTGTATGTTTCAGGGTTAACAGCACATCTAGACGCTCATCTTGGGGAAGATCTTTCATACTGATGCTACGATAGATTTCAAGTAATTCCCTGGCCCGCAGTGTGAATTGTGTATCCATTTCTGTGGTTCTGCCATCAAATGCTTTCCATCTTTTTGGTTCTGCACACTGGGGAAACATTTTGAATCAATTGTTACAGAACAAGGAGCAACAAATGAATAAAGTACAGTGCTTAAAGTTTAACAAAAGCTCAGTGGTTGCTTCTACAGATTTAACATTTTATTTTAGTTAACTGAAGAATAATAATTATTCTAAGAAATCAGCAATTACTAAAAACAGCTTTTTTGATCAATTCTTATATATAATTGTGAAATTCAGTGATTTATTGTAAAATTGTTTCCTAATGAACATAAAAAATTCAAAGGACAATACAAAAAATAAGAAAAAGACTTATACATTAATGGATTTAACAGAATGCAGCTAGAACCATTATCATCATATAATAACAGTTTAATAAAGCTAATCTGTTGATAGAGGTGAATAAAACATTTTCTAAAATGTATCAAGTTTGCCCAAATTCTCAAAATATGGAAGCCATTAACACTTTTCTAAAATAATCAATCTCCTGTAAATATAGAGTCCACATTCTATCAATGAAGTTTTTACTGAATTTCTGGCAATCATGCTGTTATTTAAAAAAAAACGATGGGTAACAAATAATTGAAATAATGTAAATAAACAAAGCTTTAGGTTTGCAGTCAGATGTTGAGAGAGATGTGGAAGACTAAGAAAATAAAAAAGGGAGAGGCAATTAATTTCATGCAGTTGAGCTCAACCTGATATTCACTTTGCCATTCATTCATTCATTCATTCATTCATTCATTCATTCATTCATTCATTCATTCATTCATTTCCAGAATGTGACTTTTTGGCATATGCCAGACCTTCAGTGGCATGATCTTCATTTGTATAAGTTGATTTTTATGATTCTTTTCACATAAGGAGATGCATAGCTGTGTACAAAAATTAGGTATAACTTAGTGTAATAATGATTGCCCAAATCCTGGAGCTTGGATAGCTTAATGAAGCTACAGTAGGTTATTTTAGGCTTCGGGTTTAATAGTCATCAAAATTTAGGTTTTTCATACTACTATAGATATGGCTTGGGAATAAGTGCTATTTCATTATAGACAAGAATAATAAATTATTTGTAATTAGTAAGTAAAACAAAAATAAAAAATAACTGATAAATATAAAATATTTAGTCAAATAACCAGAAGGAAATAACATACTGCATTGAGTAACTGGGTCACAATAAACCTGTTTCAAACCAGGAACTGACAAAAGACAAGTTTGTGGTTGCCCTTCCATGCCATTCCCTGAATGCAATGCACATAAAACAGGGCCAGGGCTTTGACTGTGCAATTGTGGCTATCATATTGACTTTTTTTATCTCCTCCCATGGATGTCCCTGCCTAGTGGGTAAGTTGGAGAGTCTTAACAATCACTTGTACCCCCTGCACTTGAGTTGTAAGTTCCTAGACTTTAGATCTGTGGTCCACCTACACTATGAATTCTACACAGTAAAGGGGAGAGACATGCATATTACCTAATTCTATTTGAGGAACTGGGGATAGAAGAGCCATGATAAACTGAAAAAAGTAACCCCCTCCTGATTTAATTTTTTTTAGAAAAGCAACCATAGGAATAGTCCTATCTTTTAAAAGCTCTTTTTTGGTGTGACTAAATCCTCAGCCTAGGGTTACTCTTTACTTTATATGTAAATGCAAGAGCTGGAATGAACATGGGTGGGTGGATATTAGGAGATTTCTAGTCCTGGCTTACAGCGATATTACCTCTAACCTGTCTTGGCCTGCTTACTAAGCATCAACCAAGGCAGATTAGCACCACAGAGCTCTCTCCTAACTGTCTTCCCATCTCTTGGCCCCTTCCTGCTCTAAACTAGGTGCTTGGGGGAAAAAAAGGAACAAAGCTGACTGGGCTATGTTCTGTTTTGAACTTTAGCAATCCTATTCCCACAGCTCTATACATCTCTAAGAAGCATGAATGCACAGAAACAGTTTGCTACTGGAAACAGAAATCTGTACACTATTGAAAAACTCCTATTTTTCAAATTATATAAGCATTAAAAAATAAAAATAGAATTTCATAAATGTGAATTTGACAGATTCTTAGTGGGTTTAGTTCTATAATTAAATGAAGTGCAGATAATTGGAACTGATGGATTGAAGCCAAGACGGATTTTGAAAATTGATGCAATAGATTTTTGCCTAAGTAATAAAGTTCTACATCTTTCAATTAGAGCTAGCAAACACTTGACAGAATCAGAAACAAAAGATTGTTGCTCCAGCATAATTAAAGTTGTATTAATTTGTTTCCTCATGCATGCATGATAAAACAAATCCTTCATATTGTATTATAAGACACTGTATACCAGTATGCACCCAGAGTAGCTGAAGTGATTTAAAATCACTAATCACAGATTAATTTTCTCTGCATGCACAAAAAGTTTTAACTTAGACCTTGTTCATCAACCTGGTTTATTCCACCCTGGGATTGGAGTCTGTCCTGCATTCCCAAATGTCATTGGACTCCAGAAACTCTCCTGCACTAAAGCCAGTTTTTTGATTCAGCACTATCATTAACACTATAAAGTCAGCCTTGCAGGATTAATGTTGGAACTGAGGGATGGGTAGTTTTCCATGGGTGAGAATTCTTGCCTTGCGTCAGAACCTCCTGTCACCTTCAACCCTACTAAAATCAAGGGACTGTGGTGGCGTGGCATTCTAACTAGGCTTATTAATCTGCTGAAGTTGACAATTACATCTTGAAGCATTTTAACTGGATTTATTACACCAAGTTGAAACATAATAGTTTGCATATGAAGAAAT